ACATTCTTAAAGAAAAGAAATTCCAACCTAGAATTTCAACTAGAAACTAAACTTCAAAAGTGAAGGAGAAATAAGATACTTTTCAGACAAGCAAATGCTGAAGGAATATGGTACCACAAGACATATGTTACTAGAGCTCCTGAAGGAAGTGTTAAATATAAAAAGGAAATGCTATTATCAGCCACTACAAAAACACACTTAAGTACACAGAACAGTGATGCTATAAAGCAACCACATACATAAGCTTGCAAAATAACCAGCTAACATCATGATGACAGGATCAAATCTACATATTTCATTAGGCCGTAATCAAGAAGATCTTTGAAACTAATGAGAATAAAGATACAACATACCAGAATCTCTGGAACACAGCTGAAACCGTGTTAAGGGGAAATTTATGGCACAAAATGCTTACATCAAAAAGTTACAAAGGTCTCAATTTAGCAACATGACATCACAACTAAAAGAACTAGAGAATCAAGAGAAAACCAACCCCAAAGCAAGCAGAAAATAAGAAATACCTAAAATTAGAGCTGAACTGAAGAACACTGAGACGTGAAAAATCATTCAAAAGATCAACAAATCCAGGAGGTGGGTTTTTTAAATTAATGAAATAAATAGACTGCTAACTAGACTAATAAAGAGGAAAAGAGAGAAAATCTAGGTAAAAACATTTAGAAACGACAAAGGAGATATTACCACTGACCCCACAGAAATACAAATAACCATAAGAGAATATTATGAACACCTCTATGCACATAAGCTAGAAAATCTAGAAGAAACAAATACATTGTTGGACACATACACTCTCCCAAGCCTGAGCTAGGAAAAATTTGAATCCCTGAAAGGACCAGTAATGAGCTCCAAAATTGAAACAGTAATAAATAGCCTACCAATCAAAATAAGCCCAAGACAAGCCAACTTCACAGCTGAATGCGACCGGATATACAAACAAGAGCTAGTATCTGCTCTTGTTTTGCTAAATAAATATTCCTGCTAAAACTATTTCACAATATTGAGGAGGATGAACTCCTCCCTAGCCCATTCTATGAGGCCAGTATTATCCTGATACCAAAACCTGACAGGGACACATACACACACACAAACATCAGGTCAATATCCTCAATGAACATCAATGCAAAAATTCTCAACAAAATACTGGCAAGCCGAATCCAGCAGCACATCAGAAAGCTTACCCACCACCATCAAGTTAGCTTTATCCCTAGGATGTAAGGTTGGTTCAACAATAAACATATCAATAAATGCAATTCATCACATAAACAGAACTAAAGGCAAAAATCATATGATTATCTCAATAGATGCAGAAAAGGCTATCCATAAAATTAAAAATTCTTTCATATTAAAAACTCTCTATAAACTAGATACAAAAGAAACTTACCTCAAAATAATAAGAGCTGTCTACGTAAAACACACAGCCAATATCATACTGAATGGCGAAAAGCTGGAAGCATTGCCCTTGAACACCAACACAAGACAATTATGCCCTCTTTCACCACTCCTATTCAACCTAGTATGGGAAGTCCTGGACACAACAATCAGGGAAGATAAAGAGAGAAAGGGCATCAAAATAGGAAGACAGAAAGTCAAACTATTCGTATTTGCGCATGACATAATCCTATGTCTAAAAAAAACCCCTATAGTCTTGAAACAAAAGCTCTTTTAGCTGATAACTTCAGCAATGTTTCAGAATTCAAAATCAATGCACAAAAATTACTAGCACTCCTATACACCAACAAAAGACAAGCCAAAAGCCAATTAACAAACAATCTCATTCACAATAGTGGCAAAAATAATAAAATACCTAGGAATACAACTAACCAGGGAGGTGAAAGATCTCCACACGGAGAGCTACAAAACATTGCTGAACAACATCAGAGATGACACAAATGTAGGGAGCACATTCTGTGCTCATAAATAGGAAGAATCAATATCATTAAGGTGACCATATTGCCCAATTTACAGATTCAGTGTGATTCCTATCAAACCACCAATGACATTCTTCACAGAACTAGGAAAAAAAACTATTTTAAAATCCATATGGAACCAAAAATGAGCCCAAATAGCCAAGGCAATCCTAAGCAAAAAGAAAAAAACTAGAGGCATCGCACTACCTGACTTCAAACTATACTACAAGTCTACAGCAACCAAAACAGCATGGTACTTTCACAAAAACAGATACACACTAATGCAACTGAATAGGGAAGCTAGAAATAAAGCATCACACCTGTAGCTATCTGATCATCTAAAAAGGTGATAAAAACAAACAATGGGGAAAGGGCTCCCTTTTCAATAAATGGTGCTGGGAGGACTGGCTAGCCATATGCAGAAGATTGAAACTGGATGCCTTCTTTACACCATATACAAAAATCAACTCAAGATGGATTAAAGACTTAAATGTAGAACCCACAACCATAAAAACTTTGAAAGACAACCTAGGCAATACCATTCTGGACATAGAGACAGGCAAAGATTTCATGAATAAGATGCGAAAAGCAATTGCAACAAAAACAAAAATTGGCAAGTAGGATCTAATTAAACTAAAGAGCTTCTACAAAGCAAAGGAAACCATCAAAATATCCTACAGAATGGGAGAAAATTTTTGCAAACTATGCATATTATAAAGGTGTGATATCTAGTATCTACAAGGAATTTAAAGAAATTCACAAGAAAAAAAAAACCAGCCCTATTAAAAAGTGGGAAAAGGACAGGAACAGACACTTTAAAAAGAAGACATGTGTGTGGTCCACAAGCATATTAAAAAAAAATCTCAATATCATTGATCATTAGAGAAATGCAGATCAAAACCACAATGGGAGACTGTCTCACCCCAGTCAGATGGCTATTGTTAAAAAGTCAAAAATAAAAGGTGCTAGAAATGTTGTATAGAAAAAGGAATGTTTATGCACTGATGGTAGGAGTGTAAATTAGATCAACTATTGAAGAGAACAGTGTGGCAATTACTCAAAGAACTAAAAACAGAACTACCATTCCAACCAGCAATCCCATTACTTGGCTTATACCCAAAGGAATACAAACCATTCTATATCATAAAGACACATGCATGTGTTATGTTCATTGCAGCACCATTCATAATAGTGAAGACACAGAATTAAACTAAGTGCCCATCAATGATAGACTAGATAAAGAAGATATGGTAGATATACACCATGGAATACAGGTACATAGATGGAGCTGGAGGCCATTATCCTTAGCAAACTAATGCAGCAACAAAAATTCAAGTACCGCGTGTTCTCACTTATAAGTGTGAGTTACATGATGAGAAAACAGGGACACCTCAAAGCAGCAGACACTGGCACCTACCACAGGGTATGGAGAAGGAGAGGATCAGGAAAAATAACCATATTGCCTATATATGACATGAGCTTGCCTATATAACAAACCTACACATGTACCCCTGAACTTAAAACAAAAGTTAAAAAAAACTACGCTGGAGAGGGTGCAAAGAAAAAAGAAGCCTTGTATACTCTTGGTGGGAATGCAAATTAGTACAGTTGCTATGGAAAACAGTAAGAAGATTTCTCAAAAAAACTAAAAACAGAACTACCATTCAATCCAGCAATCCAGCTGCTGTGTATCCATCCAAAGGAAAAGAAATCAGTACGTGAAAAGGATGCCTGAACTCCCATGGTTATTGCAGTACTATTTGCAATAGAAAAGATGTATAACCTAAGTGTCCATTAATGAATGAATGAACAAAGAAAATATGTATATACACACAATGAAATACTATTCCATTATAATAAAAAGAATGAATTCCTGTCATTGGCAGCAACATGGATGGAACTGGAGGTCATTATGTTAAGTAAAATAAATCAAGCAGAGAAACACAAATATTGCATGTTCTCACTCATATGCAGGAGCTACAAACGTTGATCTATAAAGACGAATAGTAGAATGATAGATACCCGAGGCAAGGAAAGGTGTTCAGGGGGATGGAGAATGAAGAAATACTGGTTAATGAGTAAAACCATATAGATACATAAAATGAGTAAGTTTTAACATTTGATAGCAGAGGAAAGTGACTACACTATACAACAATGTATTGTATGCTTCAAAATAGCTAGAATTAAAATGTTCCCAACAAAGAGCAATGATAAATGCTCCAGGTGATGAATGCCCGATATTTCCTGATATTCTGACTTGATCATTACACATTCTATTCATGTAAAAAAATCACATGTATGCAGTAAATGTGTACAAGTATTGTGAATCAATACAAGTAACATTAGTCTTCTTATTTCCTATGTTAGTTACACCCAAGCCACTCTCTTGCTGGAACAAATACGGTAGTGCTTGTAGTGGGGAGTGATGATGATGACGATGATGATGGTGATGGTGAAAACAGTGATGATATGTTGCTGCAAATAAAACTCTACCAAATGACAACTAATTACGTGTCAGGTATTGTGCCAACCAAATATCAGACCAAATTTTATGCCTTAGACTAGTTTGTGATGTAAATGTTAGTTTGCTGACTTTGCAGTAAAGAGACTGACATTCAGAGAAGTTGAATAATATCATCCTCAAATCAATCAAATGCTAATTAAGGAAAATAAAAGGGGTTTAAAGTGATACAGGAATAATCTTTGGTATGACCCAAATTGTGAGATCCTGCTGTGAATCAAAGAAAGATTGAAATAAATCCAAATGATTACATGATATTGCTAATAAAGCACATTTGAAAATAAACAAAGATCCATTCACAAATATTATGCATAGATACTTTATTCAGGGAGTGAAAGGAAAGTGACAACTGCACAGGTGGTAGAAGCTCATGCCCAGGCTCATGACAGACACAGGAAACATCAACAGAATTCTCTGATGGTTCCCAGGGACAGAGCTGCTGGTCTTTCTTTCAGAGCTCTGGGAACGGGCACTGCTGAGGACTTCCTTTCTAAGTCTCCACCTGGACAGTGGCAATATGGCAGCATCATAAAGGGAAGCTTTTGTCAGGGCACATCACGGGCAGATCACTGGCTAAGGGGAAAGAAGCTCCCGTGTATCCCTGGATGGCTTTGATGAGAAGATGCAGGTGGAGCTGTGGAATGAGTTGAGCCAAATATCCTTATCCTTTCATGATCCTGATGAATCCTGAAGCTGTTACTTGCTCTTGGGTGGACACTTTGGCTGGCAGGGTGGGGAAGGTGGCACCGGAGGACATTTCTGCTGGCACTGCTGAGGTGGGCAGGGCTCTGGACACTTTGGTGGTGGGCAGGGCTCAGGGCACTTCGGGGGTGGACATGGCTCTGGGCACTTTGGCATGGAGCACACAGGAGGTGGCTGGCAGGGCTGCTTGCACTGCTGCTGTTGGTAAGACATCCTGCTGGAGTCTCAGAATCTGAAAGAAATGATATGACAGTGTCTGTGGGAAGGGACTCCTCCAGAGAGAGAAGCCAAAGCTTGTGTAATACCATGGAATGTAATTTATCCAATCTCTAAGAAATTATTTGAATTCTTAATTCCCTTTTCACGACTTTCTGGTTTCTCGCTTCCACTTTAACAAATTGCTTCATTGTCCCTGGGAAATCCTGTGTTTTCTCATACAATTTTTCCAAATAAATTATCTCTGTTATAAAGAATCAAGCATGTTATTTCCCTGAAAACAACCAATTCAAGAAAGGTGGTCACAAGTTCAGACCGCTGGGCAATCTAATAGGCTATTCCTTTCATCATTATCTGTTATAAAGTCCTAGTGGGCTGACTTGGGCATAGAGCAAAGGGCTGCTCAGGGAGAACTGTAGTCTCTCACACCTGCTAAGACACAAACCTTTGTAAAGGACACTGGAAAGACAGAGAATAAAGAAAAATCCTTGCTCTTTTTTCTTCTTCATATCAAAGGTTACCCCTTAACTTCTCTGTCCATATGGATACCTACCTGTATAACAAAAGAAAGCTAAAATAGCATATCATTGTGCTCTAACCCTAAATTTTCATCCACTAAGTAACATCAAGTCAACATTCATAGGATTAGATCCACCAAATGTGCTATATTCAGATTAAACTCAACATTTCAGGGCACAAAGAAGAGAGGAACTCAAGGAAGCAGACTCACCGGGTTCTCCAAGGCAGATCGGTGCTCAGGTACCAGGGGTTTAGGAGTCGTGCAGCAGAAGATCTCTTTATAGAGCCTGCTACCTCACCCAGCAGGAAGTGAAACTACCCAAAACAATGCTGATCCAGCAATTTCTTAAGCCAAATGCAAATTTATCCACGACTGGCATGTGCAGGATACTCAGAATAGGAAATATCCTGTGCTGAAATCGCTCCACTGGGTTAAGTGCTCCTGACTCACGGAGGCCCTGCCTCGGATCTGTTTCAGTGACTTACGGCAAAGAGGGACTTGGGAGAATCTCTAACTGATGGTCAAGGAATATCTTTCTTAATTGGGAACAAAGATCTTTTCCTGTCTTACACCTTCCCTAAATCATAAAACTTCTGCCCTGATTCACTTTATCTGAATGCCATATTGTTGTACATGAACTCAATTATACCTCTACTTTCCTCATGCAATCTGCCAATGTGCTAGAAGGAAGGAGAGACCTAACAAAGGCCTGAGTTCTAGTCCAAGCCTTTTCTTTGCTCTGTTGTATGACCACAGGCAAGTCACCTCTCCTCCGTGGAACTGTAAACAGGGAGAATAATACTTACCTCTGGGTTTGCAGGCATTGACCGCGTTGTGCCACCTGATGACCCTGGTTGAGCTTGAAATTTTCTCTTCTACCTCTTTCTTTCTCTCATAAAACTCCAGATTTTACCTATATTATCTTCCTCTTTAAAACTGTCTTCTCCACTCCATTTGTAGAGGCATTTGTCCCCCAGGATAGATTCCAAAGTGAGGTTGAGTCTCCCCAGCACGTTTTCTACTTGCTGCCCTTAAGGATGTGTACTATAGCCTTTTTACTTACAAAAATGTACTCTTGGACACCACCTTAAGGAAATAGAGACAATGGAACCAAAGTTACAAGCGTTCACTCAAAACCTATGTATTGAACCATGCCCATATGGTTCCCTGTGAACACCCTATAGAGAACAAGCTGCATAGATTCACATTATCATATGTAAATAATTAGAAGTAGGTTTGCAGAGTGCAGAAGTTCAGAGTACTTAAAGTCTGAAATCTAGGGGAAAATAAAAACTAAGTATAATCCAACATGTATTCTTGCTCTCTATTTCCAAACAGGCTTTAGGTGTTTGAAAGACAGTGTTTTGAAATGTGTTTGTATGTTCTTCCTTTGTCTTTTCTATAGACCCTCTAATCCCACAACCTGCTGGATTATCAACTCACACCCCAATGTACACCTCTCATCTGTCCATTTTGGCACATATTGTTCACTTAACACATATGTTGTCAATGCATTTAGTGATTGTTCTTTCATATCTTTTTTAAACTCTTCTTGCAATCAGTAAAGCTTTCTAAATATTGTATGTTAAGCATTTAAAGTGATATTTCTAGAGCTTCCTTATCTAGACCATTAATCAGGAAGCTTTCCAAGGACGTGGTTTTGCAAGTAGATGATAAGAGAGGGGAACGAGGAAGAGGAAAGACTCAGAATTATTAGAGCAGTCACCAGCTATGCTCCAGGAAGAACAAGTGTTGAATCAATCCAGCATCACATCCCTCAGTTAAGCAGGTTAGGTACCCAGAACTGCTATTTCTCCTGTCAGTAAGGAAGGGCTTTTGGCTAAGATCACCACTGGCCAGGACACTATAGAAATAGAGCCATCACGTCAGAACCTTGAGGCCAAATATTTACAAATAGTGTTCTCGCCCAATGCTTCCTATAGACTATTACACATGCCAAATACTTCACTGGGCAAAGTAAAGGGTCTTTACTCAGTAGGTCCCCTACTACTCCCCAATAGCCTGACATCACATCTAAAACACAAATCCTTAAAGAAATATCTGATTTCCGCCATGCAAAATTGAAGAATTCGCTGCCAAATGAGATCACTGTGTGAGATAACACAGTTTGAGTCACACCCTGAGACTCCTGTTCTGAGAACACCCCACTCAAACAGCAGGCTCATCACACCAGTGCAGGCACTAGAGTGGCAGCAGCCCTAGTGCCCTCAGCATCTCAGACAGGCTCACTTTATAAGTTGAGGTGGTGAACTTGAAACTCAGAGTTCCACACAGACCAGCCACATGAGGAATGGCCACAATATGAAGAGGGACAGCTAATAGTCACAGCTTCCCCAAGTTAGGACATCCAGGCCCTGAGACATGGAGTGAAGCATACTTCACACACACACACACACACACACACACACACACACACACACTCCATGGGTCTTTATTTATCTATCATCTACCTTCATGTCTAAAGAGCCTAGCTTTATGTTTCTTAAGAGTCTGATAGCCTTAGGTTCATTCCTATTATTCCTACTTCCTAATTTTCTCAGGGATCATTAAGTATGAATTATTAGTTCATAAAAATGACAAGAAAGAATAAAAACTTTTATTTGGTCTAATATTTGATTCAACATTTTATCTCACATCTTCCTACGATACATTCTACTATACAAAATAGTGCTGGCAAATGAAGATATAAAACAAAATATGAAAAAACTAAAGAAACAGGAATTGTAGTAAAATATTCTTGATATCTTAAGAGAAATAGTAACTGCAAGTCCCCATGCATATCTGCCTTCTGCTTTTATTTCTGAATAGAAGGCTTAGTCTGCATTGCCCTTCCATAATTCAATAAATCAGATAAACATATGGTAGAATTCTGAAAGTAATTAGGAAAGACATTTTGGGAGATTATGTAATATTATTTAAAACATTCAAATTATACCAAAAATGTATGTAAATCATGATAACGTTTTCATTAACATATTTATTAAAAGATAGGAAGCATGAAACAACATATTAAATGTGATTATATTTGGCTGGTGTAATTACAGATGATGTTTACGTTCTTATTTAACTTTTCAAAGTATGCTTCAAATGTTACCTATTATTGAGTAAAGAATCTTAAAATTCTACTTTGAGAAGCTAAAAATAGACAAGCCTGTCCATTGCCCAATTAGAGAGAGAGAGTTTTTTCGGTTTTTTTTTTTGTTTTCATTTGTTTGTTTGTTTTCAGCACGGTTGGCTAGACACAAAAGGTAGGGCAGGATGTAAGTGCAGTTGTTTTATTGTTATAGCTCTACATTTGATCACATCCCTTCTAAAATCTCTCTTGAAGAAAACCCCAATAATAATACCCCTTCCTCATACTATTGACATATACACACAGATGTTTACAAATGGTGTTTTCTCCAAATGCGAAAATTGTAGTAACCACAGACACCCAATAGCTGTATGTATCTGTGAAATCATTCACCAAAATTGGGAGATTGTTCTAGAGTAACAAAATCAGGAATGATAGTAACAAAATCTACTATCCAAGAGCCCCGTGGATAAAAAGCATAAATTGGCCATGATATGATGAAATTGGAAGAAACGGATGATTAGCAGGACAGGTAGTAAGGATAATAGAACATGGTGATAGTAATGGTAACTACCACTAAATTGTCATGAGAAAACAATTAAATCAGAGACTGCATATAAATACTTAGCACAGGCTACAGACAGTGCTCAAAATGCTAAAGTAACACATTGTTAATGAAAGAGATAGAAGCAAAATATCAATTTCAAGTTGTGTATGGTTAAGAAAGGTATTTGCTTTCTCTTTAAGATCTTTTATGTCATCCTTATTTTAAGTGTGTGCCAGAAGTTTTTAGGACAAAGCAAATGCAAATATATGATTTGAATGAAGTGGGCAAAAATAATAAGATGGGCTGATCCTGACATTTATTCTTATGTGATAAAAATGAGAGTTAATCTAAGCAGAAATTTAGATCAGTTCCTAGTTGTTTGGACTCTCTGAGACTTTCCTCTGAATTAAGTTAATACAAGCAAATAAATCTAAATACAATATTTAGCAATATGTGGATGTGTTCATTTGTAAAATATTAACATATATGGATATTTAGCATTCTGTGTGAAAATATATTTAATGTTACCTCCAATTTAGTTTACTGTTATGTGGTTAACTCTTTAGGACATTTAAAAAACACTCATTCAAATATCACATTCCTTCTGGTAGCAAATTACTTAAATTTTAGGCTAAATCCTTATAAGAAACTGAATAGCTCATTAGCACTAACCTTCCCAAAGTGAATAGACCTTATAAATTCTACTTTTATTTTCTCTATATGTTAGATCAGAATATTTAAGAGCATAATTTCAAGAACTGTTAGTAATGTAAACAGCTTGCTTAGTGTTAATGAGATTAAGAAGGACATATGCTAAATGATAGAATGAATCAGAC